CGTAGTAACAATTCCAAATTAGAGTTTGGAATAGCTTTTATCCATTTTTCACGCTCAACATTATCACTTGGAAACCGATACACTGATATTTTATTAACTTCACTAGATATTTTGTTTTTTTCACTTTGATAGTTGGTGTGACAAGCAGGTGTGACACAAAATTTATTTGTCATGATGATTTAATCTAAATTTTATAAATATATTATTTGCTTTAAATCATATCTGCAAATTCATGTTTAAATTATATAAGTTTATTAACATTGTATTATATTCCATTATTTAAATATTTGTAATAAACGACATGACATTGTATCTGGTCTGAACGTGGAAAAATAATTTTTTTGCCGTTAAAAAAGTAGGCTTCCACAAAAAAAATCCGGTTGCGCGATGAATAGGCCTGTAGTAGAGAACGCTATGATTACAATATAAACAACAAACTTGTTGCAAAAGAATGGAGTATGGGTAATGCCTCTTTTTTTGCGGCACCATTAAACAAAAACGTATAGTCTTTATTGATATCAATCTTCTAGTTTTTATCAATATAAATCAAAATTTTAAAGACTGTTTAATTATAGCAGCAGTAGCTTTGCAACATAGTAATATCATAGCAACAGTAAGTTTGATTCCGCTAAATAGTTAGTTTTTTTAGTGGAAACTTTTTTCCGCTTTGCATATTTAACTGGATTACTTTATGAAAGAATACTTTTCTAATTATTGTTATCTTTATCAGTTATTGTATCTATATCAGTTATTTATTCCTTGTTAATTAAAATTTAAATGGTAGAAAATAATTTATAAACAAAGTTCCATGACTATGTCTTTGTCCCTTCACAAAAAATACATCATCTAAACTTTACTAGTTGTGACAACAAGTATTGTCATTTTTGGCATTTTAGTTTTGATATATTCACAAAGAGTGTCAACTTTTTTAATCTTGGGTAAGTTTATTGTGTTTGCTGTTAACTTGACATGCATTCCTAACCAATGTAATATTCAAAAAATGCAATATGATTTTTTTGGGTGGTCTCGATAACTCAACCTAATTTTGAAATTTAATAAATCGTAGATTATGACGATTTTGATTTTCAACCAACAACTTTTGATTTTTATATTTACATCTAATTAATACATATGCTACTTTTTCCGACTACTAATTTATATACTAGTTTTTTGACATACTAAATTTTCAACCAATCAACTTTCAACCGACTCTTTTTTCGATTATAGAGTATAGACCAGCGATTGCTTACTCTTTTTGCTTACCTTCATAGCAAACAGCTTTTTTAGAAAAAGAAGAAAAAATGAAGAAAAATAAAAGAAATAGTTGCTGCCCCAACATAGCCGATGTAGCCAACCGGTAGCAGGCTAAAAGATAGCTGATGTATGTACTGAAGCCTAAGGCAGCAGGTTATTTCAGTATGATGTCGGAATTGTCTATTATTGATTTGTGTTAGTGTCTTTTTTTAAGAGAAACCTTAAAAACGCAAAGAAAAAACGTTAAAAAACACGGAATAATAGAATATCGCCTGAAATCGGTTGAAAATTAATTTATCTCAAATCGGTTGAAAATGAAGATCTATAAAAAAAAATCGAAAAAAAATCGAAAAAAAATCGGTAGAAAATAAAAATATCATAAATTGGTCGATAATAAAACAAACTATATTTATATTTTCGGTTGAAAATAATTTAGACCTCAGTTAGACATCTGAAAATTAGTTCCGCTTTTTAGTAGATGCTCTTTCTTAGAAAAAATCAGTAGGTCGAGAATTTTGCACATCTACCTTGTGATACGACTTTTTTTTGTAGATAGTTACTGCTTCTTCAGATGGTAGCTGCTTCTTAGATAGTTGCTACTTCTGTAGATTGTTGCTACTACGTAACTTTAGTAAATGTGAAACAATCACGAAAAAAAAAAGATTATTAACAAAAATATTTCATTTCTATTTAAATAGAAATTAAGATCATATTAAGTGATAACGTAATGAAACGCATTCATGATATAAAGATGATCTGTATAATGTCACCATAATGAAGGTACCCAATGAGCACTGGAACAAAAAAAGACGTCTTTTGAACGTTCAAAAGACGTCCAAAACGTGTATAAGACGTTTAAAAGACGTCTTTTTCACGTCTGTGTCCACTGGTCATAAGGATGATATAATGATCAGGACCGTCTTGAAGAGGTCTATTAGCCAACTAAAGTTCAAAAATTTTCCTAAATGTACAAATGTTTCATCTCAATTACACATATTTGGGTTGGTGGGTGGGGGTAATACACCTCATCGGTTAAGTTGGTGGGTGGGGGTAATATACCTCCTTCGGAACAGCCCTAATAATGATTGAATAATGATGACAAAATGATGGTAAAATGCTGATACAATTACGACACAACGATGATAGAATAATGATACAATAACAATCTAATGATGATCAAATAATAATAGAGAGATAATAAAATGATATATTGATAATAGAGATATTACAGAATGATCTTTTGATAGTATAATGATGATATTATAAACAATCCTAACTTTGTAGTTAAAATTCTCTAAACTGCATTTCTGTAAATCGTTGCCAATGTATAAACTGTTGCTGATTAAAACATTATTATTGTATTTTAAAAAATTGTTTATGTAGTGAGGTATTTCAAAATGGCTGCAAAAGAAAAATTATTCAGATATCATGAAATAAGATTGTTTTGAAAACTTTTTTTAAATCTGTATAAATTCTCGCTATGTTTAAATACAAAATAAAAGAAATTTAACGAAACAAAACTAAGTTTCAGGCGTATTAATCATCAAAATTTTTTAAATAAGTTTCAAACTTAGTTTTTGTTTAAAGTTAAAACATGTTTTGATATTATTTTATTTTACAATAATAACGCAATTTGTAAATGCAATATTTATTACATTTTACGCAATTTGTAGGTGGAATATAAAACAGATTTATTTAATTTTGTATGTATATATGAACGTATTTGTGTGTACGTGTGTGTGTACGTGTGTGTGTGCGTGTGTGTGTGCGTGTATAATATAAGTAGAACAAAATAGAGAATTAAGATAACAATAATAAAAAGAAAAATAATTAAACTTTTTTTCTTTTTTTCTGTAAATAGTAAATTGATTGTTAAATCAGTTTTCGCTGTAGTTTCTTTTTTCCTTTTTCATTTTTATAGGCTGAATTTTTTGGTTATAATAACGGGGCTGGATGATAAGACCATATCTTCTGCCAGCTCCGGTCGAAACCTTAATGTTATATTTTTATGTCGCAAAAACATTGAAAAATATTATTTTTTAATGACGAAAAAATTTAAAAAAAAAAAATGTTTACGCTTCGTTATAAAGAAATTTTTTCAATGCTAGCTTTGAACTTTGAGGCAAACTTTTGTTTTTAAAATAATTACCGTTTTCATTCATTTTTCAAACTACTTCCCAGTTATTAGGCTCCGCTCACGGTAAATATGGATTTTTGCATTTAGAGGGTAGTTCACTTATAATAAAGAATAAGAAAGAATGTTAGGAACACACAGAGGAATAATTTGCCGAAAAAACCTTTTTTTTGCCCACTCAGAGTGAATCTCTTGTAAAATACTGGTGTAGGTTGGTGGTTGGAAATTGACTTATATACATTTACATTGCATTACAAGGCATCTATTCATGTTATTTATGAGACATCCATATAACAAATATTTATAGTACATCCATACAACACATATTTATAAGACATCCGTATAACACATATCTATGAAACATCCGTACAACACATATTCACCTTTAATGCGCATATGTTCTTTTATCTAACACAGGAAACACCAATTTAAAGGAAATAAACTTAATTTACCCTGAATAGTTCTTAGATATCTTAACCACATTAGACATAAAATATTGATATTAAATAATATGTTAGACATACAATATTAAATAACATCACTGTTCTTTATTTCACGATTATCATATAACTTTATTCAGTTCAGTTAATTTCTTCTTTTTAGGCCCTCACTGTGTGGTGCCCACTAATATACATGATTATTTTTCATATATAAAAAATGTTTTGGCTAGGTAATTTATAAATCACCTGAAAAAAATTGATGCACCATTTTATAAAATTAATAAAAACATTTCTTAATGCCTAAAATGTACGCAAAAACATTCAGAAAAATATAAAAATAGAAAACCTTAAATCACTAATCAATGTAGCATGTCTCATAGTTGCTAATACAGAAAATAATACTTTCGTTTTTGAGCAACAGGAGTTGTCCAATATTTAATAAAGGACGGTTTTAAGTGATAGAGGTCATAATATAATATCATCTTACCTCACGAAGTTCATTTTCAACTTATTAACAAAAAATTAAGCAGATTTTACAATACAAACGGTTTTTGACCAATAGAGTATCATAATATGTTCAAGCAGATTGAAAGCCATCAATTACTGCTTTGCATAAGATTTGTTTGAAGGTCAGATTTGTTTAATAAAAATTCAAGAAATTAAAAAATAATAAAAAAGAGCAAATAAAAATTGAAAAAATAAACGAGAAACATAAAAATAACAAGTTTAGTATAAGTAAAACGATGCAGCAATTTGGAAAATTGGGTTAAAAACTTGTTACGCATACAAAGTATGCCTTTTGTATGCGCAACAAGTTTTCTAAATGCAGTTTTTTTTAGTTTCTAAAAGTTTACATAGTTGGACTTCCTCCCTTTTAACATACACTGATTCAATTCCAAACTTAATTGCAATAAATCACGGTTTAAGAACTACCCCTGCATTTGTAGGAGTAGGCGAGTTTTCAAACAAAGATTTCTGAGAAGTTTTTTATTGAACAATTACCAGTCTACATTAAAATAGTTCGGCGACAAAACGAATAAACAAAAGTCGAATTAACTCACATTTATTGATTTGTGTTAAGCCTATGTGAGATCCAAGTTTAGTTTTGTTGTTAAACGGAATTTAAATCAAGTTAGTCAAAAGTTAAAAACATAGATACTAAGTTTTTTAGTATGGAGTTTCCAAGATTTGTAAAACAAGACACATTATGTGAAGATTCTTTTATGGATAAACTTTTTAAAAGAAGATGCGCAGAAAAGGTTCCAAGAGAGAAAACTGCTAAACGTCCAATGAACTCATTTTTGCTTTGGGCAAAATCTGTAAGGAAAATTTATGCAAGTGAAAACCCTAATCTAAGCAACACTGAAATAAGCAGACTGTTAGGCAAAATTTGGAAAGAAATGAGTGAAGTTGAGAAACTGCCGTTTATTCAAAGTGCAAAGTGTCTCCGAACTAAATTTATACAAGATTACCCAAATTATCATTACTTCTTGAAAAAAAAGAAATTTAATCAAGTAAATAATACACATTTTTCCAAAATGGCTTCCAAACTAACAAGTAATGATTTAAATGCATACGAAATTTTTAAATGTTTAAACATGAGTGAAATTATAGAACACAAAGATTTGAAAAGCTTTGGTTATCTTCAAAGCGTATTCACAGCTTATCAGAACGAAAGAAACGACAACCAAAATACATTTTCACCAAAACTTCTTGCAAATAGCATTAGTAATAAATTAATTTCCAATGCCAAACTAAATGCTAAATCAAATAAAAATAAAAGTGTCAGTTTTGATGATAATCAACAAACGCACAAAGAAACAACTACGCTGCATTACTATTTAAATGAAGCACAACATAGCTGTGAAAACTCTTTTGACATCAATAACAAAGAAAATTTCAATCAAATTAATCAAATGGAAAAAAGAGAAGATGTTATTGAATTTGACTCTGAACTTAGAGAATTTTTTCAGTCTCTTGAGAAAGGCTTTGGTTATTATGAATGAATAATTGTTATTTTGTTAAACAATTTTCTTATTATTACTTTTCATACTTTAATTTATAAATTTAACTACAACAAAATTTTAACTTTAGTTTATTTTATTTTACATAATTAAACATAACTGAACATAATTAATATGCACCAACATACAGACATAGTGTATAAACTAACATATCGTCATAGTAACAATCAAATCATAGTAGACATTTATTTGTATTTATCTTTAATAGTATTATACAATTTTATTTGAATTATATCAATAGTTTAAATATTAATAATTTTATTACTATTATTGTTATTATTGCTATTATTTTTATTGCTATTTTTATAATTGTTATCATTATTACTATTATTATTTTTATTATTAATATCATTATTATTAATGTTAAATTTATTATTTATCTTAAAAATTTGAATAATGTGCTTAAAATAAAAGATATTTTAGTTAATAGATATTTTGTTAATAACCTGTTTTGCAGTTTACTATGTTTAATATTTACTACTTTTATCTGCATATATATCTGGTTAAGATTTTAGCTCAAAATCATTTTTGAAATAATTTTGAAGATAAGTTAAACTTATCACTTATAACCATGAATTATATTTAAACATATACAGTGAGTTATAAATACTTTAACTTTTTCAGCCTATTACTAAACCTTAAGGTCTTTACCTAACGGGCACAGACGTCTGTAAAACGTGTATACTACGACTTAAAGGAGCCCCAAGTCCGTAGGACGTTCTTAAGACGTCAAATTTACGTTATTTGCCCACTGGGTAGGTGCAAGCAGTGATGTGTTTAGTTTTGTATCTAATACTAAATCTTTCAGAGTCCTGCAAATAATTTCAATATTGGGTGTGTTGATAACTTAGACTTTAAACTTTAGATTATCAACACACTCAAATGCTTTGCAATAAACTAGGAGGAAAAAGCAAATATGACAAAATATCAATTGGAATTTTTAACTTTATAATTATTTACTGATGATTTTTAATCAGCACAAATTGTGTCTTGGCTGCCAACAAATGTCTATTTCCACTGCAAATATTTATAGATAAACACTTTAACTGTTTATTGGTTTATTCATGTATATTTTAAAGATGATTCAGATCATTTATCAGTTAGAATACACGACCACGACGAATACACAACCTTTAATTTAAACTATTTTCTATTTTAATGATGAACTTAATGATAGATGTACATGAAGTACATCAATTATTAGGCGAACCAATGGTAAGCCACCACTTTCACATCTTCATGTTTTGATGCAGTTGAACGAAGATAAATTCTCCTAACTTTTTTGGAGTAGAAATACAAATCGTTTGCTGAGATTATTAAATTTTATTGCATTGTTGATAATACTAAGAACGTAACTTTAGTCTGTTCTTTTCGTATTTGAATGAAACATTGTTAAAATATTTTTTTTTATGACCAACAATAACAACAACAACAACAAAAAAGATAAGTATTTAACTTCAAGTAAATATTGTTTATGTTAAGTAACGCGATAAGTAATTTATAATATTGTTTATGTTAAGTAACGCGATAAGTAATTTATAATATTGTTTATATTCACTAACGCGATAATTTAGAGTAATTTATAATTTAGAGTGAAGAATGACGTCATAGGATTTTTTTACTCTCTTTAAACAACCTTGATGGTGTCAAAACTAAACATATTAAACAGTAGTGTCAACAGAAACAGTAGTGTCAACAGAAAATAGAAAAAAAATGTAATCATCAGACTGGATTAAAAGATCACGGAGTTCCGCTCTGTAAATAAAAACAAATTTTTACCCTGATAATATTACCTGTCACGAATAAAAAAAAAATGGCATAAAAAGAAATCAATCTTATTTATGCAGCGTAGTTAAAGCTATTTAAACTGCTTTGATTGTAAACTTATTAAATGACTTACGGATTCCATTGGTGACGCATTTAACATTTTTAGATACTTGAATTTAATTTTTTGACAATTTAATTCTTTAGGCTTTTAAGAAGGTTTTTGTAAACGGAGTGCAAACAAATTTACAAATAAATTGAAAACATTTAGCTTTAAAATTTTAAAAGCGTTTTTAAACTTTCGTCTGTTCTTGTTCTTATTCTTGTCATATTCAACACAGGGAGAGTGGGGAGAAGTGGGATATTAAAAAATACTTCTAGAATAATTTTAAGATCTTTTTATATAATGTATGGATCAAATAAGTTTTAAAATATAAAGCATCATTTCAATATATTTTCGATATTAGAGGAACCGTGCCATTGAGAAAAGCGGGGCAAGTATGGGTGTTGTAGCACAAGAGAGTAATTAACAACAAAAAATACTAATTAAAAACTATTAAAATTTTTTTATCTTCATCAAATACTGTAACGGTTTCCGCAAAATAATAATAAAAAATTGATATGTTCGAAATGGGAGGTCAACTAATTTTCTTTGTCCCACTTCAACCCTCAAATGACTGTTTTTTTGGGTAATTTTTGAAAATGTGGTTTTTACCGTACTCAGAGAGACAAAGCTATGTCTGCTAAGTAGAAGGAAAGAAAGCTCATTGTTTATATTAAATAACCTCTCCTAATTGAAATTTTAGGGATGTTACACTTACATGATCCCACATCCACTTTTTCCCCACTCTTCCTTACTCAATTATATCGGAGCAAATATAGTACACAACTATATATGCGTGAATATACGCAGTTATGAATCAGAGTTGTCGCAGAAATATTATATAGATAATTTAAGCATTAGTTTTTAACTTCTACTTAAAAGTGTTTGAACATTTTTTTATCTGTTATTCTGAAAGCGCTTAGATTTTAAATTTTTCATCATTTAAATTAATATCTAACAGGCGACCAGAAACTGTCACAAGCGATTTTTTTTATATCTAAATATTTTTAGTGATAAATTTATTTTTTATACCTAAATATTTTTTAGTCATGCTTTATTATTTATACCTAAATAAATCAAGAGACTATGCCATTCAAAATTTGAGAAAATGTCAATAAAAAAAGGTTGTAAAAATAATTCTACCTCAAAATTGAGGTAGAATTATTTTTACAACCTTTTTTTATTGTATTGTATATGTAAGGTTAATATTTCACCGTGTTTGTAATATGTAAAGTTATAAGTTACATAAATATATATATATTTTTTTAACTTTCATTATTTTATAGAAGCTTAAAATTTTCCAGTGCATGCTTCCAAAACAAGTAGGAGCGATGATCAGCTTTGTATTTTAGGTCGTAGTAACTTTAGCAGATAACAGGTACCAGAGGTGTTAAAAACACTGACTAAAATTTATTTAAACTATAAAAGTGTAATTTTGTTATATTTTTATTCGAGAGAGAACTATAGATCAATATCCATTGCCAGATACTTAAAATAATGGCAAACCCTTGTCAGACACCCTTAAACTTCAAAATATTGTAACTGTACTTACGTTATAGTATAAAAGTGGAATATTATACATTTTACTTGGTAACGATTAGACAAGGTTTCCTCATTAGCCAGACATTTTCTACAGTTCTAACCCCTAGCCAAACAAACATATATAAGTAAGTTATATATATAAAAACATGAGGGCGAAAACCTTAGTTATGCAACTTAACTGAAAATAATTGCCGTTTGATTTAAAAGTTCGTAAAGTACTGGTTTCTATAAGCTTTCTATAACTTTTAGATGAAACTTGTAATTAAAATAAATTTTAAATATGGTTTTAATTGCTACAATATTTTTTTTTAAATATTAAAAAAAAAAAAAAAATCACTTTAATGCAATTAAATTTTTTATTCTCAAAAAAATATAACAATAAAATAAACTTTAAGAAGTACTTTTTTTTAATGAAAAAATTGCTTTAAAACTCTCGTCGATATATTTACACTCCACCGCGCCTATCTCTAGATACTCAATCTACATATATACGCCACACTGCTTTATCCCTTATAGTCAGTCGGCAAATGTATACAAAAAAAAAACTTTTTTCAAGGTTAACACAAGAGCAAATGGTAACTTGGTAATCACGCCGGAAATTAATTACGAAATACACCTTGATTACTTATCCAGAAAAAATAATTTTTTCGAAATCGAAATCTAAAAATTTTGTTCTTAATATAAAAACTACTTGGAAGTTTTCTTGTTCTCAAGTCGAAATTTAAGTTTATAGTAAAAAAAAACACAATCTAACGTGGTTAATCCAACGCTATGTATATAAAAACTAAAACCATTTAAAAAATCTTATTTTAAACAAATCAATATTTTACCTCAATAACATTTGAAATATTTGTGCATGAGAATCACAATTTTTATGTGATTGTGTGTTGTGCGAGTTAGGGGCATCCATTAATTACGTCATCAATTTTTTGGTGATTTTTACTTTTAAAAATAAAAAACAAAAACAAAAAAACACCTTAAATAATAATAGTAGTAGTAGTAGTAGTAGTAGTAGTAGTAGTAGTAGTAGTAGTAGTAGTAGTAGTAGTAGTAGTAGTAGTAGTAGTAGTAGTAGTAGTAGTAGTAGTAGTAGTAGTAGTAGTAGTAGTAGTTTACAACTTCATGAAAAAGTGATTAATAGTAAAATGTTTAGAAAAAAATATTTAATTTAAATTTTAACTTATGAACATTTTTTTAATATATAACCTTTAAATTTACAATGGCTTGCTCTCAACAAAAAGTGAATAGATAAGTGATTGCTACATGCAAACTTCTTTCAGTGCACAATAGAAGGTAAAAAAATTGTTTCACGCAACCTAGCGAAGAACTGCAAGTCGATATTACTTCAATAACAAAAATATAGTTCCAGTTATGTAATTTTAAAGACCGAAATTAAAATTTTAATGGAGGAGAATATTTCTCGATGTTTTCCGAAATTCTTACTGCGATAAAGAAATCCTAACTACTTAAATTTTTGACTAGATCTTCAAGATCTTCTTTCACATAACAAGTCTAAATTTTTAAGTTGTTATAATATGAATAACAATTGCAAACTTAATATATATATATATAT